TTAGACTTGGGAATTTTGCTTAAGTTGTCCCGGGTTGTAGGGTTACCCTACCTGTGAAATTTTGCTTATAAACGCGGTTACACTCAAATAGTCTGGAAACAATTAGAAAGTTAACCCGGGTAGTGTTTAAAAGGGAAAAAGTTAACCCGCCTGCCCGGGTGATCCTTGCACGCAGATAGGGTAACCCGGTCTATCTTTTGCCCTCCAGCTAGGGTTAACCCGCTTGCTAGGGTAACCCTCTCTCCCTGTAAACAGGCCCCTAATATTTTGTTTTAGAATTGGTGCCTCTTACGGGTGAAAAAAACTTTCAAGCCACGCCCACAAAACAGGATCTTGGAACCTCTTAGGGGTTCTTTTCAAAATTTCCGACGACCGCCCCTGTCCTTTTTTCTGGGAGTCCGCCCCCGGGCTTAAAACTTAAAAGGCGGGGCCAGTTTTCTTGTGATTTCACGAGTTCCATTACTTTCAAAGAACAGTGTTCTTTAGTAAAAATAAACTAGAATAGAATAGCATAAAGTACTATTATTATAAATTGTCACCAGGAATCTGTCACGTGCCTCTACCCTGAAAAGAACCGTGGTTCCCCTTGTCCCCTTTTTCTGTTTGGATTTTCCAGCCTATTCTTGTGGAGTGACGCAGTCTGTCGTGTTTCATTTTGCCAATTCTAAATACGTTGGTCGCTAAATTAAATATTCAAATACTAAAGCCGCAGACCCGCATGCAGTCACGAAGGGAGCGTTACATCAGTGCGTTCAGTGGCGTTGCGTGATGGTTTAGCTGAGGCCGAAGGGTACACTGGTCGTAACTCGGAGAAACAAAAAAAACTAAATATGGAGGTCGTCTCGTTGTGCTTTTTGCACTTATAAACGTTTGTCCTTCTTCACAACTCTGTAGTTGAATTCAACATGACTTCCATTGCTCGAAGTGCTCTTCGCCCGGTTTGTCGGTTTCTTGATCGAAGATTCTTTGTTCCTGCGTGTTGTCATGTTCGATGGAGTTCTGCTTCGTCACAAGTATCGCAGGTAAGCTTATAATTTACGTATCGATGTCTATTGTTAAGTAATGTTCAAATCTCTGTGTTAGCTTAACTTAAGCTTGCATATGGTAGGGTTTTGCAATATAACTCGTTTGTGATTTATACTGAGAGATCTGGAAAAAATTTGGGTGATTTTCGTGTTTTGAAGATGTCTAATTAAAGCGACGTCATTGCAGAAATTTTTGGAAACAATATACGCTAGTCTTACACTTGGGGTTTGGGTGGGTAAAGAACTGGTATGGTATCAGAAGGATAATTATTATTATTATTATAAGAAGGAGTCTAACTGAAATTTATATTCGCCTGCCATATGTTTCGCATGATTACATTTATTAATTCTCTGTTACGTTTCGTGTAACTTGTGTGTAGGTTGCCTATTCACCAGTTAATGACGACATAAAAAGAGCTTTTGAAGACATAGTTGGAGAAAACAATGTGTCATCTGCAATGGTTGTGAGGGAACAACACGGAAAAGATGAATCTCACCACAAGTGCCATCCTGCTGATCTCGTAGTATGGCCCACCAGCAGAGAGCAAGTCTGTCAGGTGGCAAAACTTTGCAATGATAATTGTCTCCCGCTGATTCCATTTGGATCTGGGACAGGACTGGAAGGGGGTGTGGTGGCCAAAAAGGTAGTGAATGTGGTCGATAATTTATGTAATTAACTTAGCTTTAGTTGCAAATCATAGAGGAAGATTGAATTCTGTCCGGTGACTTGCTGTTACAGTAACTGTGACTTGCTATTAGTGATATTCAGCACCCAAGCTTGCCACAGACGGTGAGTTTTTAGTTACTGAAATCTTACCCTGATCTTGGCAAGGTTTGGCCTAGCTTTTCCTCAAAATTTTAGCAGCTGAGATCTTGTTCAGTCTCGCTGTGATCTTGGCAAGATCTTAATAAGCTGAGATATGAAAATCAAATTCGTGATACGAACATCTTGCCAAGGATCTCTGAACAAGATACTGGCAAACTGTTTTACTTTTTGTAAATTTAAGAGGGTCATTTATTTTTTTAGGGTGGTGTTAGTGTGGATGTGACAAAAATGAACGAGATACTAGAGGTTAATGCCGAGGACTTTGATGTGACAGTGCAAGCAGGTGTTACAAGAAACCAGCTTAATAACTATGTGAGAGACACAGGACTGTGGTTCCCTGTTGGTATGTTTGTTACTAACCATAAATAAAGTAATGTTATTAGTATAGTGTTATGGCCTCTTGGTTAGTGCTCAGGGCTCTGGGTTCAAGCTCTGGCCAGGGTCATTGTTTTGTATTCTTGGGTAAAACTCTTTTCAATACTCTCACATTGCCTCTCTCCACCCAGGTGTATAAATGGGTACAAGGGAATTTAATGCTGGGTTTCACCCTGTGGTGAACCGGCATCCCATCTAGGGGAAAGTAGAAATACTCCTACAGTAGTTGCCAATGGCCTGATGAGCTACCAGGCTCAAAATATGGATTGTAGCTTCAATGTACTTCAACTTACAGATCATGGTTATAGCGCATTGTATGATGTACAGTTTCATTGCTGGACACCACCATAAGATGGCCATCTCCCAAATGCAGACATGGCTGTGTCATTGATCCTGACTGAATTTCATTTGTTTCTCTTAGTAACTGTCAACTCACTTTAAGGCACAGACTGACACCTTTTTGAAGTGGTCAGCCAAGAACCACTCCTTAATGTGTTCATCATAGTGTCAATTCACTATTAGCCTGAATGTTTTTTTCAGATCTGTCTTGTCTCTAAAATCCATCTCTGTCAGTCTTTCCAGTCTTGACCATCCATCTTCCATGTTGTTTATTACCTCCTCAGTGTTTTTCTATAGCTAGCATTCATGAAAGGTACATTAAAGCAGTCCAAGTTGCCCATCAGGCTGGTGCTTACAACTTTACATCTCTGGTATATTCTAATCCCCCACCTTGCTAATGGGATGCGTCTATTGTAAAGTTGTCTCCAGCGTTTAATTCACCCTTACGCATTTGGACAGAGAAACTGTGAGTCAGCGTAACCTTTTATGTATCTTGCCCGAGCTTTAACGTAATGGATGATACAAAACGGTGTCTTAGTTTGTGTATTTGAACAGCACTGTTAATTTTATAAATTAAAATTGTAAATATTCTAGATCCAGGAGCAGATGCTAGTTTGGGTGGTATGGCTTCTACAAGTGCATCAGGGACAAATGCAGTCAGGTATAGAAAACTGATACAATGGAACCTTACCTTATGATTACCCCTTAATGCAACCACCTTCTTATTATGACCACATTTTTGGTCCTAAAGAAAATGCGTCGAACTAAGATACTCTTTGTATGTACTTTAGATCCTATTTTTGATCAAACTTTTTATGATGGCTGAAAGTTTAAAGATGGTTGACTTGCAATGGAGTACTTCTGTGTTTTAATAATTATAATAGCACCGCTTTAAATTAGCTTTTAGTTTAAAATGTTGCAAACAAGTCTGATATTCTTTTTAATTCTGCTAAATTACATTTAGAATGAGCTCTTAACAAAATCAAACAGTAGTGGTCAGGTGAACTATTGATTCAGAAGTTGTCAATTTTGTATACAAAAAGTCAAGTGTTTATTATTGACAATTATAATAAAGTTTCCATATAACGCGCGCTCCGATTGGCTGAAACAGCATGCTTTATCAGAGAACAGAGCACGGGTTGATGACGGTAAGTTGGCTTCCAAATTTTTGCTTCGGAATTTTGACAAATTTGACCCAAATTAAACATCCCCTGTGACTCAGACAAACGCACTGGAAGCGAGCTATTTTTCTGCAGTAAATATGGCTCACAGAGACCATTGTTAGCAACAGTAGTGTTAAAACTGTACTAAAATAACAAGTTTTGCTAGATTCCCGCCGACAAAACATGTTCAGCTGTGGCGAAATACACAAATTCTCAACCTAAACAGTGCTTCGATAAAGACATTAATTTTGTTACGAAGGCAGAAATTATACTAAGAAGTAAAACAACGACAGAA